GGATTGGGATATCCTGGCTAGGGTTCTAACCACCATTGAAAGGAGAGGATCGGGATTTGATTAAGATGGGATACAGCCCAGTCTGTACACCCAAATGCAAGGGGAGTCTTGATTAGGGAAGTTGAACACATGCCTCTTAGCTTATCATGTTATTCAACCACCATGGACATACTTCTGGTGATCATTGTGACGCCAACCGGACGATCATCACGCCACAACACCTTTCTTGAAGATCACAATCCTAACGTCCTACCGGATCAGCGTGCGAATGACTTTCTATAGGAAACAGGGCTTAGCAGGTTATGGCCCCAGATACCATTTTTAATTTGGTTCAACCACCTTCACCTGGGGTTGAACTGGTATCTTGTGATCTGACCTGTGGAGTGTTAACCACTATACTATGGACCCACAGGTTCTCTAATTTAACTTATATATTTATTCCTTTGGTTTTTTATTACTTGTTGATATTGTTTTTGTTAATATCAATAGTAAAGTATAATTGATATTATTTATTATTATAGTAGTTGTTGTTGTTATTATACTGAAAAACTAGTTTGAATTAATTTAGTTTTTGTTTTAATATTTTAACAAAATCTGATTAAATATTAGAGAGTAATAGTTATTTGAAAATTTTAAAATAGTATAATAAATATTATTATGATAAAGTTATATGTAAAGATTATATTAAACAAACAATAAATCCAATAATCTTATTTAAATATGTTTTTTAAAAAATATTTGACTTAATATATATATTAATATTAATATTTATAAATAATTTTTATAATATAGTAAATGAAAGAAGAAATATAAAAGAACAAAAAAAAAGAACCTTTTCTTATATAATAAAAGGATAAACAAGACTTTCAAACTTGAATAGACTTTGATCAGAGTTTTATTTCATTGTATCAATTATTTTAAAGATTCTTGAGTTTCTTAATTAGAACTTACTTGTAATAAAGAATATAAAATATTTTTTTTTAATAAAAATTATTATAAAAAAATTTTTTTAACAAAGTAAATATAATCAAGAAAAAGTTATATATATATATATATATATAATTAATTTTAGATATAGAAATATAGTAATAATAATAAAAAACACTTTTTAAATTATATTTGTTTTATTTAAAACTTTTATTTATAATAATTTTAATTAAAAAAATATATTTTATACTTTTTATTGTAAATGAGTTTCAGTTTAAAAGCTTAAGAATATCAAAAATAATTAATACAGTAAGATAGAATCTCTAATCAAAGTTTATTTAAATTTGAAAGTCTTGTTTATTCTTTAATTATATAGAAAAAAACCTATAGGAATATATTTCTATTCTTTTGTTCTTTTGTAATTTATACTTTTTTAATATTTTAAAAACCATTCTTATCATTATTATTATATTCACTAAACTTACAAATACTTTTCAAAAGTATATTCAGACAAAGTTTTAGAATCTAATATTTGTTTTAATATAACTTTTGTAATTATTAATTTTTAAAATAAAAATTTAAATTCAAAACTTTATTATATACAATAAATTCGATTTTTTCTTATTTATAAATAACTATTATTATTATAATATATAAAAAACAAAACGTTTATGTGATGCTCCGGTTTCCAATCAAATAATTAATTTTAATAAAGCTCATTGAGTTTTTCTTTTTAATGTTTTTATCTTTTAATAAATAATGATAATGATTATGCTGTAACACTTTTCTTTTTTGAATTTTTGAATTTTAAAAATATTAATTTTTTTTATTTACAAATACAAGTAAAGGATAAACAAACAATAATGATATTCTCATTACTTGATAAATGCCAAAGTTTGATGTAGCGACTCAAAGAAATGATATGTTCTTGAAATGATTAGGCGTTATTAATACATTGATAATGACATAAAGAAAGATTGTTCACCACGCAAATAAGAACAGAAGCCTACGGTGATATGAGGTGGTTGTAATAAGGAAAGATAAAAAAAAGGAAAAAAAATATGTACAAAAGTCATCCTACCATTGATAAGGACTGGTATATTCTTCCGCATACAAATTCTCCCACTCAGTGTCACGTTTCGTTTTTCGTGACGAAGAAACATATCGATTTCGGTAGTAACGACCTATATAACGGTCTGGTGGTATCGGGTCAAACCCGGCGGAGTCAATCTCGAACACTTAAATAAATAAGCGAAAGTTAGATGGAATATAATGGTGAATAAAAAAGAGTAAAAAGGAGGGAGAAAACGTGACCTCACCATCCTCGGAGAATCCATCAAAATTGCTCATCAGGTAATGATAGGTCAGACAGACGAGGACGAATAGTGCCAAGAAAATCAAGAAAAACCTATTGTTATCCATTTCTTATATCAATTACGTTTCTCTTATTATTTTATATCAGTAAAAACACTATTTTTATATTTATTATGGCTTATTACTATATATCCTCATGGTGTTATATTTCCGTGAATAATAGGAAAAACTCAAAATTTTGTGTTATCGTGGCGTCAAAATTTTATTATGAAAAAATGAAGAAATTTCTCATCACCGTTTACATTAATACTGTAGCCAGACGGTATGACTCAACGGAATTTCATTTAGGCGCACTCGTCTCATCTGTCTTTCTTAGTTTTCATTCTCTGATGGTTAGCAATCGATCATTCCCCAGAACTCGCAATTTACTTGGCACGTGATCATGAAAGGAACGCAAAGCCATGTGAAACAGCCACACAACCAAAGCCTCGCGGAATCAGACAAACCTTTGTGATTATTTCGTGAACGAAAGCCTCCTTCATAGGAC